AAAACCTTATAACCCGAGCGCTTTCGAAATGTGGACCTTTCTTCTTCAAGGGCATTCCCAGTTTGTCTAACCGTAGTATTCATACATCATTGAAGGAAATTTAAAAAACGTTAACATTTTCTAAAAAAAAATAGGATTTTTTTCTGGGAAGTACTACACGGGAAAAGTGTTCGGATTGTGCTTTTTAGTCATACGCAACTCACTGCATCAAAATGATTCAATGTACAAAGCTCAAAATTTTTCATAAATTTTTACTCATATAAACTGTAATGTTTATATATATATATATATATATACCCCCCCAGTAGCATAGGGGTATGTCTGCGGACTTACAACGCTAGAATCCGGGTTTCGATACCCGTGGCGGGCAGAACACAGATAGCCCATTGTGTAGCTTTGTGCTTAATTACAAATAAATAAATAAATAAAAATATATATATATTAAAAGTGGTACTGTTTTTTTTCAAAAAATCATAGTTTCCAGTTTCTCAGTACTACATTTAAAAATTACATCAATAAAGATATAATCAAACCCTCACATACAGTCCTAGTGAATGTCGTGTTCTTGTTGGGAGGAGAGTACTTTTATTTAAAATAGGGTCATATTATAAAGAAATAGCTGTTGCACATACCATAGTTATTTTTCTAATTGTCTGAATGTTGAATACCCAAAGTGTGGCTCCCCAGTGGCACAGCGGAACGTCTGCAGACTTACAATGCTAGAAACCGGGTTTCGATACTCGTGGTGGGCAGAGCACAGATAGCCCATTGTGTAGCTTTGTGCTTAACTACAAACAAGAAAGAAGAAAAGCTAATTTAAATTTATGTCATTTATTATAGTGGTTACAAGGTTGGTCAAATTGGCTGAGTCAGTATACAGTTAGGGTAGAGAAAGTGTTTGTTGTTCTTTTGAAGCCACTCCAGTGTGGCTTTGGGTCATTGTCCTGTTGAAATGTAAATGACTCTAGCAGGTTTTCCTCTAGGATTCACCTGTACTTTGCACCATACATCGTCCCCTCTATCCTGACAACCTTTCCAGTCCCTGATGTCACAAACAAACCTCAAGTGTGACATTTTTTTAGGATTTTCTTTTGTGGCCATTCAATAGATGGTGCAGGAGTTTTGGTTACATCTACAGATACTAACATAGACACTAACTCCATTACAGTAAGATGAAATTTAAAAATTTTCAGGTGAAGAAAAGTATTTTTAATCTTAACATGAAATCACTTTGCTCTCAGGGCAGTCAACACTTATTCTATATATTCACGTACAAATATGTAATAAAAATACTTAATTATAATGCCTGTTTTTGTTTCTTTTGTGTGTACAAGACACATATAATGTGTAATGAAAGTTTGCTAAATTTCGTGAGATACGCAAAATATATTAAAAGTTATAAAACTCTGATGGTTATTTTGTGATAACAGGGTCGGCCATATCGATCGACCGCCTTTGCAAAAAGTTAATATCTCATACATTATTGAGTGACTGATAGCTTATTGTTTTTTTGAGAGCTACGAAAACAGCATATTTTAAGTCCGAAAGTGCCAACTTACAGTATGATATTGGCTCAGATAAAAGACAACAGTATTTTTGTATGCGCTATTTGTATGAGCTAAAACTACTTCACCTTTTATTATAAATTTTGAAAAAATAATTAAACTTTTGCAGCAGATTATGTTATACTATGTAGGCACACAATGTCTTTTCTTATCTCTTATTAATATAAAAGTTTTCAATATTCCTCTGCACATTGTGTACAGTGCCTTGCAAAAGTATTCAGCCCTACCAATAATGTCACATTTTGATGAAATAAAAATAATGTAAACAATTATTTTTAATGAACTTGTTTTTATTCAAAACTCTGATGATCAAACTCAACACTGTTATGTGTGAAGAAGGTTGAATATCAGCAAAACCTGCAAGGAAAAATATGTATAAATTGAAATTTGCAGATTGTATAAGTATTCAGCCTCCTAGATCAGTACTTGGTGGAAGCACCTTTGGCAGAAATTACTGCTGTGGGTCTATTTGGATAGGTCTCTATCAGTTTTGTACAATGGAATGGTGCAATGTTTGTCCATTCTTCCTAGCAAAATTGCTTCAATTCTGACATGTTTGTTGGGGATCGTTGATGGACTGCAATCTTCAAGTCTAGCCATAAATTTTCTATTAGATTCAAGACAGGGCTTTAACTAGTCACTCCAGGACATTCACTTTGTTCTTTTGAAGCCACTCCAGTGTGGCTTTGGGTCATTTTCCTGCTGAAATGTGAATGACTTAAGCAGGTTTTCCTATGTTTTATACTATGCACCATCCATCATCTCCTCTATCCTGACAAGCTTTTCACTCCCTGCTGATGAGAGACACCCCATAACATGATGCTGCCACCACCATATTTGACAGTTGGGATGATGTTGACTGGGTGATGGGCTGTGTTGGGCTTGCACCAGAAGTAACGCTTTTAATTTAAAACAAGAAACCCAATTTTTGTCTGCTCTGAAAAAAGCCTCCTGCCTCATGTCTGCAGTATCATTTACATGCTTTGTTGCAAACTCCATACGAGATTTAAGATGATTCTTTATCAGTAATGGCTCCTTTATTGACACTCGCCCATACAGGCCAGCTTTGTGTAGGGACCAGAATATTGTCGATGTCTAAACATTGACTCCCATCTTAGATATTGAACTTTACAAATCTTTCAAAGTCACTGTTGACTTCACAGTGGCATCCCTAACCAAATTTCTGCTTGCCTGACTGTTTAGTTTGGAAGGGCGGTCTGATCTGGGTAGTGACTTGATGGTATAAAGCACATTCCACGTCTTAATGATGGACATCACCATACTCAAAGGAATAATCAGTGACTTTGACATTTTCTTGTAACCTTCTCCTGATCTGTACTTCTCTACCACTTTATCCCTGACTTGTTTGGAAAGCTCCATGGTTTTCATGGCTGATTTTTCGTATCACTTAAAGAGATGAATTTAATCTGAAGTCAAGTCAAACCACTTTGATTACACACAGACAGAAACCATTACACTAATTTTGTGACCTTTCAAACTAATCTTTTGCACCTGAACTTATTTAGAGTTGCCGTAGCAAAGGGGTTGAATACTTGTGCAATTGAGAATATTCTATTTTTTAAAAAATCCAGCTTACATAATATCAGCGTTTTAGCTTTCTCAGTTCGGAGTAGAATATATAGATTCTAAATATAAAGTTCTATTCGAAAATTTAATAATTGAAAGCTCAGACGGCAACAATAAAATTTGGTTTGTTTGATAATAAGCACAAAGCAACACAATGGACTATCTGTGCCCTGCCCACCGCAGGTATCGAAACCCGGTTTCTAGTGTTGTAAGTACGTAGACACAGATGGACCTTTGTGTAGCTTTGTGCTTAATAATAAACAACAACATACAACAGCTTTATTATTTACAATGTAAACTATGAAGAATTGCATTAAATACTTGTTCATGATATATAGGCCCGGCATGGCCAGGTGGATAAGGCGCTCGACTCA